TTGCCCAGCGACAGCCCCAAAACATCACTGCTCTAGAGGACACAACAGTGTGTGAAAACCTTGTGAAGACTTACAGAAAACGTTTGACCTCTGTCATTGCCAACAAAGGGTATATAACAAAGTATTGAGATGAACTTTTGTTATTGACCAAATACTTATTATCCACCATAATTTGCAAATCAATTCTTTAAAAATCAGACAATGTGATTATCTGGATTTTTTTTGTCATTTTGTCTCTCATAGTTGAGGTATACCTCGGATAAAATGTACAGGCCTCTCTCATCTTTTTAAGTGGGAGAACTTGCACAATTGGTGGCTGACTAAATACTTTTTTGCCCCACTGCATATATATATATATATATATATTAATATTTTAATACACTTGCATTTTTCAATCATCCTTATAATAACTTATAATTCAACCAAAAAGATGAAAAAAACTTTCTTTAGGAATGATTATTATGACTGAAGATCTTATATACAAAAATAAATATTCCTAAACAAAATATATAAATAAGAAAGAAGAAATTAAAACATCTGTGCGTTTCCATCAGTGTGGAGTTCTGCAGCTCTAAGCTCTATCGGCTGTCACTGGCTGACCTTCCTGTCAATCAAACACATAAGCAAAGGGCAGCAGAATGTCAGCCCCGCCCACCTCTCTGCTCTGGGTCCACAAGTCATAAACACCTTGCTTCCACCTCAGCAGCAACACAGACTGTTGCATACATTTATTTATTTTTTTTTTCTCTTTTACAAGTTATTTTGTTTACCTCCTTAAGTTTGTAATCCACTCTTTTGACTTTCCTTTAGTTTTTAATGAGAAGAAAAAGAAAAAAAAATTAAACTTTAATCAAGTCCAATTACGGTATTTGGGTGTATTTAAAAGGCCTGTATTTTCTCATCCGAAATGTATCACATTATTCTAAACAATTCAATCTAAAAAAAAGACTTCCCTTTTAATAAAATCAAATATATTTTCCAAACCTTCTGATGTAGATTGCAGTTACCGTTTCAATCCTTAATCCCTAAAAATCTACTTTTTAATAAAATATAACAATTATTAGATGTTATGTGTCCCTGAAAGCAACGCTGAGGATGGATTTGAAAACTGATCCTACTCACAGCTGCATAACTAATTAATACATGATGTGTATTAATATTGATTGTGCTGCATAATGACTATGAGAACAATTTTGGAAAATTATTTGTTAAAGACACATTTTGCATGTTTTGTGTTTCTGCCCATCCACCAACTAAAACAAAAATGATTATAGTGGCTCTGAAGTGTTTTAAATATCTTCCTCTTATCGTACCTCTCCAGTGCCGATCTCCTCTTCTCCACAAACTCGTTGGACGACTGGTCCTCCTTCCCCACCTTCACCTTGGTCATCCCTGCAGAAGAGTACACACTCATTACCATAAAAACTCATTAGCTCCCGGGACGACAATCACTGCTGATCAACACACTGCACACTGTAGGTCTGATCCGTCAGCGCTGCCGCTGACTGATCATCTCCTATGAGGTTCACATTTACACTAAAGCTTCACAGGGTCAAGCCATGACCCAGTAGTCTTTCATGTTTTTAGGTAGTAGAAAATCCTACTAAAGCACTAACATAGCTTTATTTGTATAGCACTTTTCATACACAAGATGAAAACAAAACATAAGACAAACAGAAAATAAGACGTATAATTCAAGTCAAATTTGAAAACCTTTTACAGCATGTGTGCACATGATACCTTAGACCAGCGGTTCTCAAACTGTGGTCCGACTGCAGGTGGTCAGTAAAAAATTTTTTTTTAAAAAAAACGCAGAACACCTCATATGCAAACTGTACAAATAAGTACATATATAAACATAGTGTTAAAACGCAGATATTTGTTATTGTTAATTATGGACAACACTTAATTTCACCACTGGTTACCCATGGTTACGTGTGCAACACCACAAACATGGATCTGTGGCTAGCATCAGGTTCTCTGAAGAGCAAAGGGGTTAACGTTACCGTTAATGAAGATAATGAGAGTCAGTCGGAGGCATCTACAAGCCAGATTCCACAGAAAAAAACAAAAAAAGGGAAGATTAAGAGAAAATTCTGTGTTCTGTGCTACGAGACACTGGCTAACGAGAACCAGCTAACCTTCGCCGTCCATCTTGGAATCTGGCGCTACGTTTATATATGTTTGCAGATGAGGTGGTCCGCGAAAATCCTTGATAATAAATAGTGGTCCGCATAAACAAAAAGTTTGAGAACCCCTGGCTTAGACAACAACAAGGTCGAAAGAGTATAGAATAAATCCAGTTAAATAAAGTAAAAATAACCAAACATCAACAACAGATAACCCACTCAGTTAAAGTAAGAAAGAGGTTAAACAAAATGAATAAATACAAGAAAGTAATAAAAAACTAAAATATATTTTTTATTGTTTAATAATAATAATAATAATAAAAAGTATTATTATTATTATTATCATTACTTTAAAAAAAACGTTTTATTTACCATTAGAAGTGGGGCGTTGCTAATAACAAGCTAAGTAAAGAAAAGTGTGTATTCAGCTGCAAAAAACGTCAACCGAGTGTGCCTCTATTTTCTGGCAGGTTGTTCCACAGTTTTGGATAGGGTTGGGTTAGGCTGACGTAATGGATGCATTTTATTTGGGGGGACTTTTTAAATATTGAAATAGATTTCTCCCGACACAGGAACATTAAACGGTAGAGAATCAGCAAGACAAGTGGTCTTTGTATGAAGGGTTTGTTATGATCATGGAGAACTAAACACTCTACAATGGTTGAACCAGACATCTTCAATCCGACAGCTGAGCAGACGGCAGAGGGCCAGAAGAAACAAAGCCCAGTCCACTCTGATTGTTTAACTGGCCGCCTCTGTTGTGATTGGTCAACCGAGAGATGTCACAAGTCCTCCATTCAAAATGTTATAGTAGTATTATTTAACATTAGCGTCAATTCATACAAAGTGCCAAAAATGAAATTATTCATAATAAAGAGTAGCACTTTTCAGAATAATATTTATCTTAATCCTCAATTATAACACCGCCAGGTATCTTAATTCATAGTTATTTTAATTCATTTCTATATCAGTAATATGAGCCTGCAAAGTAAATGTACTTAGTCACTTTTCACCAATGGACATGGACTTGATGGAAGATTGAATCATTTTGTTCTTAATGTGGGGCAAACCTTATTGATACATTTGGTATTTTACATATGATGTCTTATTTGTACTGTTTTTAATTATGTTAAATTAGTTCTTAGTGAAGTAAAGAAATCTCCAACATTACATACCTTTGAACTCTCATTTATGTTGTTATATTTATAATATTGGCTGTTGTTTGCTGCCTTTAACAATGTACCTGAATGACACTTCCAGACTCCTGGACCTCAGTTTGAGAATAGCTAGTGTTAGAGAGTGGCTACACTTACCCACAATGCTTTTCTCTGGCGCAGGGGGGACGATGTAGCCTATGTGCAGGTACTTGGAGGCCAGTTTACTGTGCAGACCCAGAAAATCACTGAAACGCCTTTTCACTGAGAACTCCTGGCTCTTAAACAGAGATATGGACGTCTGGAGGAGAGAGAGAGAGAGAGAGAGAGAGAGAGAGAGAGAGAGAGAGATGTGATCCTGTAGCAGTTCTGTTTCAGATATACTCTGTTGCTTCTTCTTACATTTCAAATAGTGGTTTATGTGCATTTAGCTTATTGACTTCACAAATGTTTTTTCAGAAAGGAGAGTAGGAGAAAAAGAGGGAGGGTTGTGTCTTCTAAAACTGTGTGATGCATTATGCACACCAGGGACACATTTAGGTTTAAAAGCCAAGGAAAAGTGCATTTGGCATAATAGCAGTTTATAAATTAATTTCACGGGAAAAACTTTGACCGGAGAGATTTCATTTCATCTTCCTGAAAGAGATTTTATCGGTCAAAGTCCGGTACATTTCCGGCGAATGGAAAAACTGTACATAGGAATTTTTTCCTACGGTGCCATCCTCATGAAAGAAATTACTTGTTTGACACGAGTAAAGGTGAAGATCTAAGAACAGCAGATGTATTTAAGGGGATTTAATTTTGAAGGAAAACCGGAGATATTTATAGTTGCTGGACTTCAACTGATTTTCCCGCTTAATATCCGCTGACAGATACACTTTACAGAGAACATACTCTTCAGATTCAGCTAAACAGATATGTTCCTCCTTCAAACTTCAGGATTGTGGTAAAAAACTGCAGATGTATCTGAGATGTTGTTATTCTCACCTTGATCGACACTCTGTAGGCCATGTACGCATTCATCCCATCTCCTGGAACACACACACAAAAACACTCTATTATTTCATCAGCATAAGCAGTAGAGTGCACACACACTATGCAAACAGTATCAAAGGATACATATGCACACTAGAATACACTCAGATACGGGTTGAACTGGTTTCTTGTGTGTTCTTCTAGTAAATCTTTGGGTGTTTCAGCTGTTTTATTTACCGTCTTCTTAGAGCATGTTTACACAAAGGGATGGTCAAGTGAGTGCAGTAAGTAAGAGCTGATAATAAAGTCTTCATGTGTCCTGGTGTGTTCTGATGCCCTCAGGACACTTTGAAACTATGTTCCGTTTGTGCCGTCACACACTTCTGTTTTATGGGGTAACATTTTAGAATAGAAACCAATGATGAGTTTTTTCTCCAATATGTGTATTCTGATGCTTTGAGGCTCGATGTTCATGACCGGCTGTACCCAGAGATTCACGGATTGAAAAAGCTCTTTAGGACATTATTTATGGACTCGTCTTTCTCTTCTCATTCTTCGTAAATTACACATAGCTAAAGGTGGGGTATGTCATTTTGGAGAAACCAGCTCGAGTGCGCTAGAATTTGAAAGTACGAAGCCGAAAACAATCTGCCTTTTCCTTCAGACTTCCTTACAGAGCCCCTTCTCCAATTTGTGTCTTATGTATGCACCTGATCCCATTAGTTGATATATCTGAAAGCCAGTTTGTTTTGTTTATTACAATTCTTCACAAAAGAGCGTAGTGACACATTTGAGCCTGCAGGGGGTGCAAACTGCATGCTGTTGCATCAATAAAGCATTAGCAGAATAATTTGGAAGTATGATGACAGTGTGACCGAGTCAGTGTCGACCTTTATATATACAGTCTATGGTGTCGACGCAGCACTTTACTTTCTGCTGACAGCACATGAAGGGAGATCAGCTAAGGAGAATTATCATCCACAAACATGTTCAGTATCCTCAAGGAGAAAAGAAGAAAGAACAGAAAGAAAAGGTGGGGAAGGCTGATGGGAAATGTAGTCTTAGTTTGTAGATACACTTTAATAGAGTAGTGCAGGAGAGAGTCCTACTGTAAACCTTGAAAATAGTTTGAGTGCTTCCTGTTCCCTCCTGAGGTTTTTTTCAAATTTGTTTATGGTTAGATTTCCGAAATAAGGTCTGTGGTTAACACAAGATTGAGGTTTTGTTCAACGACTTAAATACGTCAGTGAATACTGCACATGTGAATGTCCTAAGCTTTAGCGTGTCAGAAAAAAAGCGGTTGCTAACAAGAGACTAAATGAGACTACTAAACTACACCGAACATTAGCCACTTTTAGCTTAGCGGTGGTGACGTGAAGTCATGTGACCGTTGTGTATGAAGTTAAGATTACATGTCAATTGTTAGACTTTTTTAACCAAAGCCACTTACATAGACTCGGTGCAGTGTCTTTCCCAAGGACACAACGACAAGCTGACTGCAGTG